CCGCTTTATAGCGGGAAGGTAAACGGTGTTTCCGTGTGCTGCTCTGGTGCCGGTCCGCCAGAGCAGCTTCGTCACGCTGGCCACGTGACCCGGAAGTGTCTCCGGACAGCACTGGCTCCCGGCCTCTAGAGTGAGATGAGCGCACAACCCCAGAGTCTGTCAAGACTGGCCTGTACGGGCAGGGGTACCTTTACCTTTATATATATATATATATATATATATATATATATATATATATATATATATATATTGGTTTTACAACATTTTTATCAACAGTACAAACAAATAAAGAAACAAACAAACATGTATAATTTCCTCTCCTTTTTTTCATAAACCTCTCTTCTCCGACTCCCCCAGACCTCCCCTTTCTACATCCCAATTTCCAAACTTATTTCAGCAAATCCTAAATTTAATTTTAATAAATTTATCCCTTATTGTTCTTTTCTTTAACTTAATCTTTTGTCGCTGTAATCTCCTTTTCTTACAAAAACCTCAACATTTTAACATTCATTAATTTTATGGTATTTCTTGAGATAAGCTTTAAATTTCTTCCAATCCTCCTCCGCCGTCTCTTTCCCCTGTTCACGGATTCTGTCAGTCATTTCAGCCAATGTCATATAGTCTATCACCTTCATCTGCCATTCTTCCAGAGTGGGTAAATCTTGAGTCTTCCAGTACTTTGCGATGAGTATTCTTGCTGCTGTAGTAGCATACATAAAGAAAGTTCTGTCTTTCTTCAACACCAATTGGCCAACAATGTCCAAAAGAAAGGCCTCTGGTTTCTTAGGAAAGGTACATTTAAGTACCTTTTTTATTTCATTATATATCATTTCCCAGAAGGCCTTAATCTTCGGGCACATCCACCAAAGGTGGTAGAAAGTACCTTCAGTTTCTTTACACTTCCAACACTTATTGTCAGGCAAATGATATATTTTTGCTAGCTTGACTGGGGTCATGTACCACCTATAAATCATTTTCATGATATTTTCCTTTAAGGCATTGCATGCCGTAAATTTTATACCGGTGGTCCACAACCATTCCCAGTCAGCAAACATAATATTATGACCAATGTCCTGTGCCCACTTAATCATAACTGATTTAACTGTTTCATCTTGTGTATTCCATTTCAGCAACAAGTTATACATTCTTGACAAATTCTTAACATTGGGTTCTAACAGTTCTGTTTCTAATTTTGATTTCTCCACCTGGAAGCCAATTTTCCTGTCTTGTTTATAAACTTCCATTATTTGGTAATAATGGAGCCAATCTCGTACTTTTGTTTTTAGTTTCTCATGGCTCTGTAATTTCAATTGGTCCCCTTCTTGTTCCAAAATTTCCCAATATTTTGGCCACCTGGCCTCCATATTGAGTTTTTTCACCGAATGGTGAATAATATATTGCTGATGAGGAACAGAAAACATATGAGACTAAACAGAGGACAGAACTAATGTGTGATTTATTTTTTAAAAATGGCCTTGCCGATTCCTTGAAAAACAGATGAAAGAAAAGAACTCCTAACACAGCCTTGCTTCAAATATCCTTTGCTGATTTGGTAATTATGTCTTAGCAGTGTCAGTAGAGTAGCATGATGTTTAATAGTGTATATTAAAATGTCTGTAGCATTATCTCAAAAGTTATAACAAGCTAATTTTGACGTTAGCTGGGCAAGTTGATAAGGCCTTTTTAATAAAGTGATATAAAGGGGCTTGGGTAATTATTTTTCATTCATGTTTGTCTTTTAAAGAACTGAGCTATCTGTCATAATTTCACAATAGCCAAAGACAGGGCATCATTAGGAAATGGCTGCAGGATTGGCAGAGTGGGCGACATTATGTAAATACGTGTGTACCATCCTCTTCTAGGCAGAACACATTTAGCACACAGATTGGACTATGCGTCTAAATATTATAAAGAATCATAAAATGCAAGTAAAGGAATAGAAATGGGAAGAAGCCTTATGGATGGTTTTGGGTTGCTGTACTAAAATTTGTGGAGAAATGTTTCAGAGCTATCAACCAATTTCAGATCTTTTGCTGTTGTTAAATTCTGTTGTTGTTGTTTTAATCAATAACTTTAAATAAACTTGTGTATTTCCAAAATGTAAACAGCAGCACCTTTTTTCAGACAGGATATTTTCAGGGGCAGCATGGAAGCTGTGGAACTCCTTGACAGTTGAAATCTGCCACCTCACTCCTTTGTTGGTTGGTTGTAGGTGATGACTGAAGACGAGAGCTCGCCTGAGAAATTTTGCTGCCTGTGATAGAGGAATAAATGGCACCCTTTCCCCTGCTGAGGTGAAGATGTATAGTGCCCACAGCTGGCCAAACTATTTTTGCAAAAAATGGGACACAATATCACGTGTGTCTCTCTCTGCCTTCTTGGCAGTAAAAATACAAAGATAATAAACCATGGAGCAATTTTCTGCCCTTCCATGATATCCGAAATTAACTAAATGGTAGGGCCAGACTTGCAAAGACCCTTTTGTTTTAATTTGCTTTGAAAATATAATTGTGGCTCCTAGCTTTGAGATTACTGTTGACTGCTTTAACAAGCTGCATTGGTTTTTTGTTTTGTTTTCCGTTTTAACAATCTGGGCTGTTTCAATGCTTGATTTTCTAGCTCGGATTATTCTTGATGTGCTTCTGCTTAGATATTCTTCATTTTGTAAGGTGCTGTCATTGCTTTCCATTAGGAAAAAAAGGGGGGATAGGAATAATAAGGTTGCTGGACTTAAGGTGCCACCCCTTCTTCAAAGATAGAACCTCAACTCATTAAGCTGGTGAGGAGCTGACAGGGATGGCCTGTTCAGTTTCACTGCCTGGAAAAAACCATGTAGACTGTCCCGATCCCATAGGGGCAAATGTTTCTCTCACACTGAATCCGTTGAGTGCATTCGGGCTCCTAAGTTTGACGGGGGTCATGAATGGTGGCCACAGGAAGGATTTCCAAGCGCCTTAGAACTGTGACGTGTCTCACTCCGAACCTTCCAAATGACTTTTCTCTGCATGTTGCTGCCATCCAAAGAAGCCGTCTTGAGAATGAGGCCTTGTTGAAACTTGCAATCCATGCAGTAGTTTGCTTTTCTTGTACATGTCTGGGATGTCACCTATTCATTTCAAGAATCATTTTAGAAGTCACTCATAGTTTACACTTATGGAAACCTTATAGGGCTGCAAAGCATACAAATTTATCATATGTATATGTGTTGTGTGTGTGTGTGTGTGTGTGTGTGTGTGTAAATTGAAATACTTCATTGTCACTTGTACAACTTGTATACAGTGAGATTAGATAAAATATTAATTTTTTTAAAAAATAATTAAATATTAAATATTTAATAATAAATAAATAAATAAGAAATAAAAGATAAGCTCTTTTAGTCTTAATTCTCCTCGTTTACTGACATTTACTGATATATACCGTATTTTTCGCCCTATAGGACGCACTTTCCCCCTCCAAAAATGAAGGGGAAATGTGTGTGCGTCCTATGGGGCGAATGCAGGCTTTTGCTGAAGCCTGGAGAGCGAGAGGGGTCCGTGTGCACCAACCCCTCTCCCTCTCCAGGCTTCGCGCAGCTCTCCGCAAGGCGCGGGAGCCCGGCGCTGAGCTCCCCCCACCCCAGCCCTGCGCCTGGGGGGAAAAATAATTTTTTCCCCTTTATTTCCCCCCCCTCCCCAAAAAAAGTAGGTGCATCTTATGGGACGGTGCGCCCTATAGGGCGAAAAATACGGTATACTGATATATATACAGTGTGTGTGTGTGTGTGTGTGTGTGTGTGTACACTATCTGTGTGTATGTGTGTAGATAGATATCATATGATATGATACGATATATGATATGATATAAAATGCCACAGTTTTAATACTGAAGGGAGGAGATTGGAAATTTTATTGGGATTATTATGAAGATCCGTATTGCAAATACACCATACGTACATATCCTGATTAGGGAAGATCATGTTTGCTTGTTTATGAAGGGGTTATAGCCGTTCTCTGTTTCTGCAATAATTCTTCAATGCACCTGAAATCATTAAACATTGATTTTCTGCTCATACCTGAGAGTCTGATTATGTTTTGGGACGGGGAGCAGTGTTGCTCTGTAATGTCAAACTCTAGGATCTCATCGCAGAAGGAGACCCTTATTCCTCTCACGGAGTTCCAGTTCTCAGAGTGGTTTAATAATAAATTCCTCTTTCCAGGGAACTTTGGGAATTGTAGCTCTGTGAGGGAAACGGTCTCAGCACCGTTGACAAACCACAGCTCCTGGGATTCTTGGGGGGGGGGAGCCTTGTTTAAACTGTTTAAACTGGTGTGATACTGCTTTAGAGGTACTGTGCAGACGGGGCCTTACAGAGCTTTCTCTTCACATCAGATATTGAATTTATTGCATCTTGCTTTCAAGTGTGTGTGTGTGTGTTTAAATGAAATAAAGTTGGTTGGTGGCAGTTTCAGCAAATCAGGTGCTCTGTAAGAACTTTTGGAATTTAGAGTTTTCGGTCTTCCTGGACACTTGCTCCCGCTAAATCAGTACAAAACATGATTCGTTATCTTTATATTCAAGGCATTTCCTTTCCATGCAATAAACATATGCAACTTTATTGGGTCTGTCTGATGGCACCTCTTTCATCGGAAAATGACACACACAAAAAAGATAATACACATTTGTTCTTCTTGCTTGGGTTGTGGGAACAAAACCGATAGGAGGAAATTTTATCTCTCACATTATGGAATGTTGATAAGAGAATTGCCATGGCAACCATATCATAAGCTTCATGCATACTTTGTTGCTGAGTTCACAGTGTCATTTTTAATTACTCCTATGCAATTAAAAGCAAAAATGAGTAATTTGTGTGAATATGTAATCAATATAATCAGCTATGTTTGCACTGAGAGTGAATGTGGGCAATTTATCTAACTAGAATGAGGGCTTCACCCAACTTGGAAATTCCTGCTTTTTTAATGTGGATTCTCCTGGTTTTTTTTTTTTCATTGTTGTTGTTGCAGAACTGTGAGAAGCTGGAAAATAATTTTGATGACATCAAGCACACGACTCTTGGTGAGCGAGGAGCACTTCGAGAAGCAATGAGGTAAGTCTGGGTCACCATGGCAACAGTCACAGATGTGGTAAAGAAAGAGTCATTCTTCATTATTGGGGGAACAAATGAGTTCATTGCCACCATTCAGCTCTATTCTCTAAGGTATTAATTTGTCAGCGGAGAGGCTTCCCTTGAGGCTGTACTTTGGTTTTGAAGCTGCGCGAATGCTAAGCCTCTCTGCACACTAAAAAACGCAAATGTTTAATTTGTTACTAAAAATGCTTAAGGGGGTGCCTTGTTTTATATTTATACTAAACTGTGTGAATGAATGAAGATTGTTCATCCAAATTGTGCAAGTATTAAGGAAATTGTACAGCGATTTCTTTCTTTCTTTATGCGGTTTTTTTTTTGCTCCTAATTTGTATTTAATTTTCAGGATATAGCAGCCCATGTAATTTCTTTTCTATTAGACTTTAATGGGATTATACTACTGTATGTGAAAATGAATGACCTCCTCCATTCAAAGAGAGAAAGTGCTTTTCTTGATTTTCCACTTTTATGATCGCAGGAGTTCGTACAGCTCTGCATATTCACTCAGGTCCCAGGACATCGGATGGGACATATTAAAGGTGATGGGAATATTAAGCCAGCATTGCAAGGATGTATGGCAAATACACCAGTACAAATACTAAGGCCACTGAAACTATTTTGTGAATGAAAAGCTGATACACACATCCAAGATTTTTTTCCATTTTGTGTGCTCTGATTGTTTCCACTCACATGGAGAGTGCAACACATTTATTTAGCTCCTTAGACCATTTCTATATAGCTTAATATGTAGGAAATGTCTCTAGGCATTGGACAGAAAGCTCAAACAACAGCAGCAACTAATATGATAATATAATTAGTAGTTATTACACATCTTAGCCTCCTGGCTCTCATGCAGGACTGCACTCAGGTATTCTGGTTCTCACCCGGGGCCCAGATAAACTCATAGATCAACTCCAGAATCTCACAATGAAGAAGAGAGTTCCTGGAACCCTCTTGACATCTCCCAGGTCTCTCACCATAGACTTGCTTTTGGTTTATGGAGTTTCCTCAGGCTGCTTACGGTTGTGTCCTATTTAGCATTCAGTTTGCTTCATTGCACAGATTCCAGGTTACAGCTGGTCTGGTGAATTTTTCAGGGTATCCAAAGGATGGCAGAATTGTGACACTCCTCCACCCATAATTCTTTCTCTGCCTCTGCACACTTATCCTCTTCCCCACTTCTCTTCTCCCAAAACATGGGTCCAGATTTTACATAACGCTAAGCCAAACCATGGCTATCTGAAACCCCATCCACTTTGTTCCTCTCCCAGATGTCCTGCTACCATGCTAACTGAAGCTAAGCCATGATTTGGCTCTAATGGTACATTTGAACCTGGGTTTGTGGTTTGTCTCATTCCAGACAAACCACAAGGTTTGTTATTGTCTTACCACTCCCAGTTTGTCAGGGGAGAAAAACCTTGATCTTGGTTTTGAATGTACCACTAAGCCAAACTTAGCTCAGCAGCAGGAGGATTTGAAAAGGTGCCATAATTTAATGCATTCAAGCTAGGGCATTATTTAGCTTAGCATTACTTGCGAACTGAGCCATGACTTGTTATGTCCAGGTATAGCCACCATCTCTTGTGTTTTTCAGCTGTCATGGTCACTGAAGTTGCTTCCAGTATCTGTATCTCCAGATTACTTAAATTGCTTGTTACATTTTGAAGTGTGAAGTGGAACCCAGTTTTTCCCCCTATCCCAGCTTTAAAGTACAGTGGTACCTCGGGTTACAGACGCTTCAGGTTACAGACGCTTCAGGTTACAGACTCTGTTAACCCAGAAATAGTACCTCGAGTTAAGAACTTTGCTTCAGGGTGAGAACAGAAATCACGTGGCAGTGGCGCAGCGGGAGGCCCCATTAGCTAAAGTGGTACCTCAGCTTAAGAATGGTTTCAGGTTAAGAACGGACCTCCAGAACGAATTAAGTTCTTAACCTGAGGTACCACTGAGGTACCACTGTATCACTTTACCATTCAGATATCAGTTCCTACTTTCGTCTTATCACTCCCTTATGGTGCATCCTAAAGCAGGTTTCTTCACGCTGGAATAAACTATTACAGAAGCTAAGCAGTAAGGGTAGCAGTGGGGGGACAGAGGCCAATGAATGTATATTGTAATGAAAATGTCCGGTAGTACTGCTACTTGCAGGAAAACAAGGATGTGCATTACCATATCTAGTCAACGTGCATGTGATGAGTCTAATTTTAAAAGACATAAGTTTGTGCAACTGCTTTTTAAGGATGAGAAGGGAAAAAACGAGAAGTGCCAAAATTCTGGTGTGCCCACAATTTCTTTTCTTAAACCAGAGCTGCTCTGCGGACTGGAGGTGGATAGCCAGCGACATCACAGGTTTTGTATAGATGGGAAAGTAGAGAGGGTACCATAGAGACAGCTTCAGCCTTGAAGTGTTAAAATGTTTACTTTGATTACTAATATAGCTGCAATAGATTTTAGATCTGGCTTTATCTGATGTTTTAGTTGCTAGTTATAGCACAAATGTGCTAGAGCAATGTTCTTCAACCTAATTTCCCCAGATGGCGTTGGACTACTAATCCCATCCCCCCCCAGCCAGTTTAGTCTATGGCCAGGTATGATCAGAGTTGTAGTCCAATAACATATTGCTTCAGTGTGCTCATGTGTTTTGTTTTTTTGATCTGATTTTGCAAACACTCCCCAAACGATCAGTGTAGCTTTGAAACAGAGAGCCATATGGTTTCTAGTTGCAGAATAACTCAAAGGGAATATCTTGTCACAGTATTCCACAATGGCGGTTATCTCCAGGGCTTTAGAAAAGTGATTGCACTGCCTTAAATATATTTAAAGTATAAATCAGGACACCCATAAAAGTCTTGTTTTGAGCTTGATTGCAAGATTGATATTTGATGAAGTAGTCTCCTTTATGCCACCGTTGACACAGAATGTTTATGTTGAGTTGTTTTCTCAACTTCATACGGGCTTATAAGATTGTATAGGCTTAGGCGGTTCTGTACTTTATATTGTCCAAGATTTCATCTGTAATTTCTCATTTTTTTTCCAGTTGGGAATTTTAATTTACTCTGTGAGCTGCAGAGATAAATCGGAGAGCAAGCCTTCCTCCTTAGAGAATACTGTAGTGAAGGGGGAATATGGGAGTGTGGAGAGATTGTGATTTCCCTTGAACATTCCTTCAATCACCTGTCTCAAATAAACCAAAATTCTTTAATTTTAACTGACCTAAGGTTACATATTATACATGGTCAGAACTGGCAGTTATAAACTTCTATTGAATTCTGTGGAAATGCCCATTGAAAAGTGTCTCAACTTGCAGACATTTCTTTTAACAGACTTGTTTTGTTCCAAACAAGCAAGCAAACACACACCTCAGCTGCTATATTGTACTGGACTCTTCAAAACAAAACACAAGGGGAGGTAAATCTCTGTTATATTAAGAAATATATTTATAACACTTAGGCTTTTTTTATGTGTGTGTGAGCCCATAAAGTTTAATTGCATGTTACACCTGCTAATCATGTTGCTTTATATAGTGCAGCAATGCTTTATGTTACTCGCAGGGCTGCTATTTTGTGCTGCAAGCAAAAGCAGCCTGCTTGTTGTCCATTGATATTATTATAATTGCCACCACTGATCTTGTTGTAATTAGTAATGAAATTCAAGGCATAGTTTGAGGTGGATGAAATGCCAAATTCTGGAAAACCTGTAAAAAAATCTTACTTTGTAGCTTGCAAATCCTTAGCATGCCGAATGGATTTCTCACAAAATATGGATGGAATGTCAGAGCACCAGTTGTGTGTTTCCCCCCTTTAATTTTTCTTTTTAGGAAAAAAAAACTTTGTACAGTCATACCTCAAGTTGAATGTGCTTCGGGTTGAGCGCATTCGAGTTGCGCGCCACGGCAACCCGGAAGTAACAGAGCGTGTTACTTCCGGGTTTTGCTGCTCGCGCATGCGCAGACACTCAAAATGACTTCACGTGCATGCGCGGAAGCGGCAAAATGCGACCTGCATACATGCAGACGTGCCATCGCGTCTTGCGTTCCGGTCGGGATGCGAATGGGGCTCCGGAACGGATCCTGTAAGCATTCCGAGGTACTACTGTATATTAGAACTGATTGGCAAGCTTTTTCTTAGGGGCTCAAGTCTACTTGCAATGACTTTTTAACCACATCAGAGGTTGCTTCCACATTAAGAACCTTTAGTGCTGCAATGCAATTCTTTCCATTATCAATTGGAAGTGGGAATTTAAAATGGTAGTTGTAGATGCTACAGTGCTGCATCATCAAATGCTAACTTTCCCCTTGACCAAATTCCTTCTGTAATCAATGTCCCCAGCAAGATAAATTAGTAGATTCCTACTTCCAGGTTCTGTGACTTCTGTTTTATTGAAGTTCAGAACAGTTAAGAGGATTATTGATGAACTGCCTTGAATTAGCCATCTTTTGTTCCCTGTACAAACGAGTTGGAGTTGTGAAGGGATCTAGTAGATTCCTTTGTTTCTGTTAAAGAAAAAACATGATTAAAATAAGTCATTCATTAATACCTCCCCTTCCCCAGTGCATAGAATAGAAGATGGTTAGCTATGAGGCAGTCACCACTAATACCCCATTAGTATTAGTATTAGTATTAATACTAATACTAATACCTTCTGGTGAAGAAGAAGCAATAAAAAGGGGAGAACCCACAGGGAGGAAGCTTTAAATTAAAGGAACAATAACCCGTAAAGCAGGAATGGGGAGCCTATGACCCTCCAGTTGTTACTGGACTCCATCTCCCATCAGCTCTGGAAACATGACCAGTGATTAAGGATGGGAGCAGTTGTGGTCCAACAGTATCAGGTAGGCTACAGGATCTCCATCCTTGCCCTAAAGCTTCAACTTTGCCAGTGTGCACTAGACTGGCTGGGACAGCAGTTACATTTTATTGCCTGCTCCCCCATTGCTAGAAATCACTTCTGACAAAGCATAT